GCCAAGATGTTTATAACAAAGAAGAAGAAGTTGTTTAACGACAAACAATGATTACAAGGTAAATAATTCAAACATTTTTGAAGTCATGATTAAAGATAAATTTAATATTCAACGCTACTATTGATTCTTCTTCATTGTATTTCTATTAAAGTTTACAAAAAAAAACGCAATTTATATATATAATTTTTAAAGTATTAACAGTGTACAGTGCTTAATAAAAGTTTACTACAATAAATTGCCTGATAACGTATGTTAAAGTAAAGGAAGATTTTCTAATCATATTATTTTTTAAATCAAACTGCGTTTCTTTATGACTTAGTATCTAAATCTAGCGCTGATGGTATTATGTTAATAATAGAATGAAGTTATTAATATCGTTGGTATCATGTTTGTAAAACTATCGTCATGTCTCATATGAATTGTAAAACATGGATACATTATATACATTATTGTTTAATAAATATATGTAATGAATTTCGTTAATTGTCTGTTTATTAATTTAGCTGAGGCTTTTGGAGAAGAGAAAATATTAAATGATGAAATACTTGTCAGCACGATGAACGATTGATTCGATAAAACAATGAGCAATGATAAAACCTGTTCACGTCCTAGTTGATACCTGACACCGATCGGTTTAACGATAACAGCATCGATCTTTTGTAATTTCAACAGGAAACGGCACGTACTCGAGATGACAATAACTGGATATGACTCAACGGCAATTGGAAGAAGGCAGCTGCTCGAGAACGTGCGATTAGAAGAAGTGTTTGAAGAACGTGTAGAAGAAAAAAGAGATGAGATTTGACGCGCACGGCGACACGTGGGAAATGCAAGTAACCATCACTTTACTGCGAGACAATTTCAAGTCGTTAACCTGCGGAAGAAGTAGTCTCCTTATTAGAGTAAAATCTAAATCAGGAAATGACGTTTCAGAAGGGAACATTTCCTTCATGCGTCCGGCTACTTCCACATTGATCGCACGTTACAGAAAGATCTTAAAAATCTCTCATCGAAGGAAACGAGAGTTTACGACATAATAACAAAATGGATCATATTTTCTTAGGTCTAATAAATCTATAATACGAAATCAATAAATCTATAATATCAAATCAATATAAAATAAATCCAATTAATGACGATGAATTATAAAAATTATCACCGTCAATCAAAGGCAATATGAAAGCATGTTGGATGAAATTCGCCTCAAAATTATATGGGAGAAGTGTCCGCTCTTTGAGCATACGCTGCGAAATTCAATCTGCTTCACGTTACTCTAAAAATTCCGCATTTCGCGGCGACATGCTGCGAATAATTGGGTAAACGACTTTCTTCACGACAGCGACCGGGTGATAGTCGGATACGGATCCCGACGTACTTCTCACGCGTTATTACCGCGATAAAACCGCTCCGCCGGCCACTTTCCACGCCGTGGAAAAACAAGCGGGGATCGTGGAAAGTCGATTTACTCGCCCGGAGATGAGAACTCGTGCTGCGTGAGTACGCCACGTCTCATTTACGAGACATGCGTTTACGCGCGCAATGACGAGCACGTGCCCCTCCAGAACGAGCGTAGCGGCGTCTTGAAGCTAACACGACGTTGAAGAACTATCCCGTTTAACCGGACGAGGGACAGAAATTGAATCTATCTCTGAATTATCTCCGGAGAATAATCACGAGACGGCACGATCAGCGCCGAGCTGAAAGAATTTCTATTTCGGAATAAACGAATTATTTATCATGACACTTTTAGTTGCTATCCGACGCTAATTAAATTGGAAATACTTGGCGGAGTTACATTATCATTTAAGTGAGCCTTAACAGATCCAGTTTATCATCACAGATGCTGACGCTGAGTGAAATTTTAGATCAGATAAAGAAGAATCGGTTATCCTCTCACAAAACGCGTGCAAACTACGACGCGCACGCATTACACAGATCATGCGCTAATTAATAAGGTAAGCTTCGCTTATTTTCAGATTCAGACTTCTCGTGTGCAAATTGAATATGTAAACGGATGTTTCGGTTGTTAAGTTCAATAACGCCGCGAGCGTGGGATGAGCTTGACCCCGAACTGAATTGCGCACATGATATTTCAACTCACTTATCACTAAAAAATTATTTTCACGTTACATATTACATATTACATTACATATCTCTAGAGATACAATAATAGACATGATGGACGTACGTACAAGGGAAGTACGAATAAGGAAAGTTTTTTGAAAAAACGAAGACTAGAATTAAGCGTAGAATTAAGACAAAAATGATTGTATTTAATAAAAAGGAAAGGGAAATGAAAGAAGTATAGAAATAGAATAATAAAGTTATCGAAGATATAGATGTTCAAATATTTAGACTTTACAATAAAGAAAGGTAATTACAAGGATTATGTTGGGTACAAAGTGGAAGATGACTGCAAGCAAAGTATATAGGGGATATAGGAGAAAGATTACGTAGGACTTTGGGAGAAGATGAACTTTGTATAAATATCTGGTGCAAGATGACTTACGGAATAGAAATATAGAGCTAGGAAGAGAAAAAGAAATTGGAAAAGATTATGATGGATTATGTCAGATGAATTTTTAATTTAGATTTTTGCACACCGAGATATGTGATATATAAAGAGTTAGCTATGGACAAATGAAGATGAGATGAGATTTAACGACGAGAAAATATAAGGAAAGAGTTAAAAAAAGAAAAAAAGAAAAATTATGTAAAAATATTGGAGGAAAAGGTAGCATATGTGAGTGAGGAATCAGTGAAAAGGAAAGGGAAAAATATTACAAAAAAATGTATTATAGGAATGGATGGGACATAGAAGCCATAGAAGTGTTTAATAATGGAGAAAGAAACCATAAAGAGGAAGTAATCAGAAAGGAAAGAGATACACAGAGACAATAAAGATAGTAAGATTCTAAATTCTAGATATAATAAAAGGTATAAAATTATAGGAATAAATAATACAGGATTCAGTACTTAAGGAAAACAAATCTAGAGGAGATAAGCATGGGGAATGAGCACTTGTAAAACTGAGATGTAAAAATTTAGAGGAAATAAACAAATATTGGTTAGGAGAAGAGAGGAGAATATGTGTTTTGTTGAGAAGGAAAAAATAATATGGAACATTATGTAAGAAAATGTCAGAGAATTAGAAGTTGGTGGACGGAGATAGATAGAAACAAAAAGAAGAAACTATGGGCAGAGGAGTTAGATTGGGCAAAAGGGAATGTTTTAAGAAAAGTAAGAAAAGAAAGAAAAAAGAAAGAAAAAAGAAAAGAAAGAAAAAAAAGAATTTAAAAAGAGAAGTAAAAAAGACTGTAATATAATAGGCTGTGATAGATTTACATAAATAAGCGAGTAAAAAAGGTAAGGTAGAAAGAACTAGTGGAAGTTGTAAGCGAGCGAAAATATCAAAGTACTATAAAAGAATTCAGTAAGAACAAGAATGGAGTATAAGTTGGATAATATGGAAAGATGAATATGGTTAAGTAATTTTGTAAACCAAATCTCCTTTTTGCCTGTATGGCTGAAGTGTAAATTCTATTCTATTTATTACATATCTCTCTACGAGAAACGTGATCAGAAATCAATTATTTAAATATATAAAATTTGTATATTTTAATGAATACATTTTTTCATTGCGGATGTGAATAAAGTTATTATTTTAAGAGATGAGAGCAGATTTTCTATTTTGAAAAATTTATTTCAGACGTTTATTTTAGACGAAGTCAAATTGTAGACGTTAATAATTTGTTCATACATAATATAACGTAAACAAAATTCGAAAGTTGGCACTAATATTTAGAAGACTGTATAATTAATTTATAACATTTGATTATAGGTGTCACATTGTACACGTGTGCTTGATTAACGGCAGTTTCATCGCCAGGTCCACAAAATAGAATGTTTCAATGGTACGTAAAGTAGAGAATGTTGTCATGAACTATAAGTATTGTCTCATAATCAGTCGACTCATTAAATTTCTTGGCGTTTAGAAAGCGACAAGTAAATCAGGTGCAGTAATGATTATTATAATCTCCCCCCGTGCATTAATGAGCAATTATATTTTCCACGGGAGATTAATCCATCTCTTTGCACGAAATACCTATCCGCTATATTAAAGATTTCTTAAGAAGATATCCAATTACGTTTTATGGAAAATTCATAACGAAGCGTTACACAAAAGTGCGATTAAGACAGTAACGAAAATGACCGATCTCATATCACATTTCATTTTATGCAATACAAATAGAAAATGTACATTTTCTTATTCATTTCCATATATAATTATAAAATACATAGTAGATTGTTCTTTAAATAAATACATATAATTTTAAAAACGAGATCCTCTATTTATTGATTAAATAATAATTAAAAGGATATTTTAAAAGGATATTTTAAAAAAATATTATTTTGTTACATATATTTATGTTAAAAAATATTTTAAATTATAAATTCTTTTTCATTAAAATTATAATTTTTTATAATTATCAGTTACAGGAGTAAAATGTCTGCATTAAATTTTAAATGTGTACATTTGAATTATTACAATTTTTATTGTGCATTATATATGTTATGTATAAATTTTTTAATTTTATTTTTGATAGAATAACAATATTTATATTTATCAATATTATTATCGATGCAAGATATATCCGCTACAAATTTAATTTGTACATTTAACTTAAAATTTTATCTAACCTAAAATCATATTGTCACGTTCAAACAGATTAGATCTGCATTAATTTATCTACAATCCATTGTTTAACTTTATTTGCAATCTATAATATTCCCACATTTTCATCTAAGCATTTAAAAAATTTTTATTTTTTTTTAAGTGCTCAAAAGGTGCATTTCTTAATTCATTTAAGAAGATCATTACACAACCATTATTTATATACTCTATTACTTTATTATTTTTATATTATATATTATTTCTATATAATAATACATATCTACGCCAGTAAATAATCGCCGAATTAATATTAAAAGGAATTCACCTTTGGTGGCCAGAACAATGAGTAGGAAGTAAAGCGTTCTGCGTTCCATTTCTTTGGGAAGCGTGTACCCCCGCGTGAACTCCAACCTTGAACGTCCTCTCCTTCCGGGAAACTGTCGAGGAACTCGTATCACTCCTACTCGAAACGGTAATTAATACGTCCGCCACGAGCTCACTTCGTTAGAAAAGTTCACCGAACGCACCTCAGAGAAAACGTCATTGCGGGGTGCAAGAGACCCTCTCTTCAGTTCTTTTTCTGAGCACTGAACGCGAACGCGTGCTCGAAACACGGGTTCGAGTGAACGCACATGCGAACCTGTTTCCTCGTTACAGGTATCTTCAAACGGGGTTAATGTGGCGATGACGTGTTGATGCTCGTGCGTTCACCAATAGAACTCGTGGACTACGACGTCTCTCGAGACTCGTAGCGCTGTAACCGGTGTCGGACGTTCTTGCTTGAGGACTGAGGCGCTTGTTCCCTGGCAGGAAGTCATCCAGGTGTTCTGCTCCCCCACCTGTCGTTCCTCGCTACCACTACCTCAGCAGGTAACAACCGCTGTGCCGGTTGCCATCAGGAACGAGGCTAGCCTGTGTGACTGACTGACTGTTCATCCCCTCTTTTACTTACGCGCCTCTCCACCGGTATTCAGGCCAACTTACGAGCTAACACGTCACCGAACGGCGAGAGCATAATCCCCTGGGATGGTATAGAATTGTTGTTTTGACTAAAAACAAAAATTTTCGACCGATCTGAAGAGAATGTGGGAAGGGATGAAATGTTCCAATAGATAATATTTGTTACATAAAAAGTTTTCAGTCAGAAGAAAAATAAATGCGATAAATGTCCATAGAGATTTCATTAAAATATCCTAATTTTAAGTTCTGTTCTAAGTTTATAGAAATAGAAAATAGGAAGTATTCATTTATATATTAAAAATTATATATTTTATTTATCATTATTATATAATTCAATTTTAATTTTCTTTTAATTTTAGATTTAATTTTAGATTTTAGAAAAAAAATGCTCGAGAAGCAATTGTAATTGACTGCCACTATATTTAATGCGTGAAATTTGATTTAGAATTTTGATTATAATTATTTATATAAAGATTATATAAAAACATTAATAATTTTGTAACGAGCAATAAAAAAACGTTACATACTGATTACAGTTACATCGTGCAAAATTTCATCGTTCAAATAAAATGTGGAAGACAAGATAATTAGACTTAATACAACCAAAACTTTACGTTAAAGTTAATTCTAAGGATTAGAAGTATAATTTCTCGATTCGCACTTTTATATAATTCTCGACATTTCTATCCCGCATGATAATTGATAATTATCAGCATACAATCGTCATACGGGATATAATTGCAGTTTCACAGAGGGAAGTACGTCGCTCGACATGGGACCGCAGAAATGGAAACAAGGCATCTTGAAGAAAATAATATACACAGGGTTCATGCAAGCGCACGTAATTGCGAAAACTCGTGGAAATTTTACAGCAATTTGTAGTAATGTACTCGCGATTGAGAACAATGCGTGTATAATTTTGCGGAAAGCACAAGTGGGACCGTAATTTATACGTCCGTGTAAATAACTTCTTTTTCATAACATAGGGAATTAAATAAATCGCAGTTATTCCTTACAAAGTTACAATACAGTGCAGTGCAATCAATAATCTCCGTACGTGAAACATTTCTAAAAATTATATAAACTATTCACTTGATTTTTGTCCTTAATACTTTTACTTTTAGTCTTAGCTTTACCTTAACAAAATTTTGTTTTGAGTTATTTATATATATATAAATTTTATATATTAAAATAACGTAATATAATTATATAATTTTTATGTATATATATATATATATATAATTATACATAATTTCTTACTCAGATGTGGCGTGCATTCTTCTTTCTTCACAAGCTAGGAAGAACCTAAATTGCTTGCGTTTAAGCAGGAAAGACTAAGAAGGTAATCACCCAACCGCGTCACCCTAAACCCGCTTGCCTAGCCCTCAGCGCTTCCTCGTTCGAGTTAATTATGGTTTCTTCTTGCTAACAATGAGAAGCGTCCATAATTCTTTGCAGAACGCCTTGTGCGTGCTGATCAACATAACCATGAAATTTAATAGTCTACATGCGTTTCAAAAGTGTTTCATGTCGGAATCCATTCTTGCTTCAGCGGACATTAATGTAGACTTCAAAAAATTGCATAGGGAAAATTACAGAAATGTTTCCTATATTATATTTATTATATACATTTATATCATATAAGATGGTTTTATTTATTTACTTCAAAGATGTCATTCTAAAACTAACGAGAGGCGTCATAATCAATTTTGCTTGTCGATGTCTAAATAAATAAATTAATTTGTTATATAATTTTTTGAATAATTTTATTTCAAAAAAAGTCCAGCAAATTTTTTAAATAAAAAATTATGAAAAATTAAAAATTATATTGACGCAAAATAGTTTATAGCTTACCTTTTTCTGAAGAATAGCAACTAATAAGTTGAAAGCTACGTAACCGGGTTCTTGCGACGACGCATAGTTTGCCTACCGCATTCCGTGTCACTTGATCAAGAAGAGGCCACGATCGATTATTCAATTAGAAATTGAATGCGCGAGCATGCGACCAGCATCACTTATGCGTGTGTATCGCCGCCGCATACGGTCGCGTGCATCGCATTCATGTCGGCTACTTTACGATGCGCCACACCGAGGTAGTCGCGTGTAATTCTCGATTACTTTAATTCTCTTGTTTATTCTATTTTGTGGCGGAGCGGATTCTCGACCGACAGCAAAGGAAAGATTAAAACGCTGATCGTGTATTCGATGCAGAAAATGCAGTGTGCGCGAGAAAGCGTTCAGAGTTCTGCGACGTATTTGATACCATGCGTTGAAATCTCCGTAAAGAATCAGGTTTGCCGACGAACATTCAAACCGGAGAAAATGCATTATATATAAGTTATTGAATATTTTTTATATGTATTTGAATATTTATATAGAAATCTAAACATAATTATGTATTTTTTAAATAGAATATTTTATATATAATTTTATTTAATATTTCAGAAATACATATTTGAAAAAAAAATTGTTTTTGTATACATCATTTGAATCATTTAACGCTATACTTTGATCGAGCAATGCGTTTATGGGGCAATGTGAATCACATCGGATTAACCGTGTGATTCTCGACGGAGCTGATTCGAGAGCTACTTCATTCCAGTCGCGGAAGTCTGAGTGCAGGGCATAATCTCCGGTTATCTTTACGAGGCGCGATTATATGACATCGGAACGAAAAGTAGCGAGGTCAGATTTGATCAAAGGTGGAAATTCGGCGCGACGAAAGCTAGCGGTGTGTGTGTGTGTGTGTGTGTGTAGCTTCACGAGTCACCTCAAATCGAGTCACTTGTTAGTAACGCCGGCTTCCTGACCCACATACCGCGACCGCCATATAACAAACGTAACACTTTGTAGCCGCGTGTACACTCACGAACAGGTACACATATGCATCGAACACATTCGTAGCCGCGTAAGAATGTGCATATCCCACACATGCATATTACGAACACATACATACGTAGCACGCGTCTCATGTGAGTGGGATAAGATCAGGTTTTCATTCCCGAGACGATACTCTCTCAGAGTTAAAAAAAAAATGACAATTTTTAAATCGACATTGGACAAATCATATGCATAGTTATTGTCCATTTAAACGGGAAATTTTCATTGCGAAAGGAGAATAATTATTAAATATTTCATTATTAGAAATAATATAGTAAATGGAAAATAAATCACCAAGTAAATATTTAAAAACTCAAATTACATAGCCATGATCACAATGCGTATTATCATCTTGCCAATTAAACATTCATAATAGATGATTATCAGAGATAAAGTAATTAGATTATTATTTATTATTCAATAGCTATTATTCAACTTTCCGAATCGAGATGTGTTCTTATCGTACTCGTATATGTGAGAAAAATTAAATTGGCAAAGCAACGAGCGATGAAAGATATAAAAGACATTATAACTTACCATATATAACTTGCCATACGAATTGCTCGTAATAATTAGCTACTACAGATTTGCACAAAATGAGTATTACGCGTGAATTATCTTACGGTACTCTTCCACAATTTTATGCGAAGAATTTCCTTTCGTCAGTTCACTCATTTCGTTTGTATGATAGATCGGTTTCTTAGAAATACTTGAGATATTGTTCTCGGAATAATTATACTTTCTGCAACATGGCTCGAAAGGAGAATAAAATTAAGTAATTTATCTTTTGTTTTATAGTTATATATAGTTAATCTTATTAGCATTAATCTTATTATTAATCTTATGCATTATTGGAAGGAGAAAGAGGGAGGGATATAATTGCTCTGAGTATAAGCTACATTATATCGCCGCTACCATTTTCAGTCGCTTTCTCGCAAGATATCAATTAGTAGCACAAAACTTTCATTATTACAAGCTTCCTTGTTATATAAATCGCCATCCTTATCGCTCGATATTTCGTCATTTCGGATGATGGTACGAGAGAAGTACGGTTTTATCATCTGAATCTTTTTTGCGGAACAGTGTACGATCGCCATATAAGGAATTTTCGCGTGGTCTAGACTCTTCTTAATCGCAAAACAGGAACTATTTAACTTTTCTCTTTTACCTTTCACCTCGACCGCCAAGCCTCGCAATGACGATTGAATTCCGCGAGTCTCTACCGCGTCATCAACTCCGCGCGCGGAGTTATTAAACTTTCGAAGAATTTGCTGAATAATTATCGGAAGATTCGAGCGCGTATAAAGACGAGTTCGTTGACCGGGGGCTCGAGCCATGCTTGATGCAATCTCTCCTGTCGCGCTCCAGGAGGATTATTTGTATATTTGCCAATGGCGTTGGAGGGTGTCGCCGCTGCAGTCCGACCTGCATCCATCGAGAGAATAGGACCATCATCTCTCTGGAGTACCAGTCGTGGGGATTCGAGAAAATACATGTATATATGTATATTGTAATATACGTATATATATGTATCATTGTATTGTTGACGTATTATTCTAAACACGTTATTTGCGATAAATATCATCATGCCTCAGTAGTCGAAGGGATAAGATGCCTGCCCGGTAAGCAGGAGATCCAGGTTCCTGCCCAGAATCCTGTCTGAGGTGACATTTTTTCGCAAAATAATTACGAGTTTTCACGACTGATTCGTGGTCGGGCTCCATCATGACGCACACTCTCCCTTCTTATTTGAGCGTGTGTTCTAATCCGGTGGAACCGAATAAAAGCTTCTCCGTTAGTCGTAATCGATATCTATGACACCTGTTCTTCATTTCATGCCTCGTGTAACGATCGAGGAATTGGCGTCCTCGAATTTCCGGGTTATCAAACAGCAAATGTATTAGTCGCGTTTTTCTTGAGAACCGATTCTCTTCTCCCCAACTAATTTAATTACTTGTCCTCTTCTCTCTGGATTCCTTCTACGACTATCCTTCATGTTTATTTTAAGTTGAGAAAG